CCTCCCCCATCTCCCCCACCTCACCCCACCCCACCCCTCCGCCCCGCAGATATTGTAACCCTTCAAACGTTCCTATTTCCATCTACTCTGCTTTGTGCCACTTCTGTGGGCACCGGCTTAGATACAAACTACCAAGGACCTGACCAGGGGAGAGTTTAGAAGACCCATGTGACACAGAAAGCAACTTTTGTTTAATATAAAGAAACTGACCACAGAAAGCAGAGTTGTTTTGTGATTATTACTTGTGATAAATTGATTTTTTTTTCAATTTTTACACCTTTTCAGCTTTTCATTATCGCCTTCCAGTGGTTTCTCCATGCTACCCATTCACCTTTTCCTGTTGACCACTGATGTCACCATTATTCATGAATTTCTATCATTTAAATCTCAAAGGACTGACAATATATTTCTAATGCACTGGACTTATTTTGAAAATCTGGAACCTTTATAATTTTAGGGGAAGGGAAATCTTAAGGAAAGATTATTTTTTCCCCTCTCTCCCTTCCAATCAAATAAGACCCTGGGTGATGCAAACCATTTAATGCACTCAGCTGCTAACCAAAAGTTTGGAGGCTCAAGTCTACCCAAAGGAGCCTCGGAAGAAAGGCCTGGCAATCTACCTCCAAAAAAATCAGCCACTAAAAACCCTACGGAGCACAGTTCTACTCTGACACACATGGAGTCACCCTGAGTCAGAGTGTTGACTCAATGGTGACTGATTCCCTTCCAATCTGGCATTTTATTCTCCTTTATTCTCTTTTCTCACCTTCATTTGTGCCTTTCGATCCTTCTTTTCTTTCTTTTTTTTTTATCTGCATGGTTAAGAAGAAATAATGTTTCTTGCATGCTCTTATTAAATTATTATCATTTGGTTTATGATTTAGTAATGGGTTTTATTTTTACTTCATATGTTTCTATATAAGAATTAGGAAAAATAGGAATATTAGGGGATTCAATATGAAAGTTTTTATGGTGTGCTTTTATATTTTTTTTAATAGCCTGGTGTGGCAAAATAAATAAATAATACAGAAAATTGTCAAAACATTCACTCCCATATCTGATCTCTCCTCCAAATCCTCTGCTCTGGGACAATGTTTACCTTTTCTTGTCAATGTTATTGCAGATATCCTATGTATATATAAGCAGATTATACACAACTCATCATCCACATTCAAATTCTCCTTAATATGATGAACAGAATTGAAAACTTGGGAGAAACCCTGCAGTTGCGCTCATAGTTTAAAGAAATTTCTTTCTGTTAATACAGTATAAATTATACTTCTCTGTACTTTCTACAATGAGCACATCTTTCATTTATAATTGGAGAAAACACTGATAATAAAAAATATGTTTTTTACGCTTCGTTATTTTATGTAACTGCTTTCACGTATTATTGATAGTTTTATCCCATACCTGACTGCTCTATCCCCGCCCCCACCCCCCTTAATTGACAAGACTGGTGAGGGAAACCCTGGTGGCCTAGTGTTTAAGAGTTCGGCTGCTAACCCAAAGCTCAGCAATTCGAATCCACCAGCTGCTCTTGGAAACCCCATCCGGCAGTTCTACTCTATCCGACAGAGTTGCTATGAGTTGGAATTGACTCCACGGCAACGGGTTTTGTTGTTTTCTTTTTCTTGGTAGGGTGAGGAGCAGAAGCATCACTCCTCATTCGTTTGCAGTTACCTCCCAGATGTTATAATTTGGAGTACCCGTTACCAGGAAGATGGACTGGCTTAAGAAACGAGGATGACTCGGGGCAGCTAGTCACCTTTACTCGGAAAAGTTCTGACATTTTGGTTAGCGCAGCTGGGCACTTTAACCTCTGTACCACCAGGGCTGCTTCCAGTATAAACAGGCTACACTACATGTGTGAATTTTTCCTAATGAAGTTTTGTCATTGACAACACAGTTTGTTGAAATAATTACCTTTGTAAATGTTTCATATGCTTGCTTGATTTGTTTTATTAACCATAATTTTATTTTAAACGTAATTTGATCTTTCTAATCACAAAGTATGACTATCCCAAACATTATTCTGGAATCAGAAGAACAGCTGAAGTGTGTAAAATCTTTGATTTTTCAAGCAGCTTTTTCTTCTGTAATTTCAATGATATATTACATGATTTTAAAATATCAAACAGTACAAAAGTATATACAATGAAAAACGTCTTCCTCCTATCCCAAAATCTTCAATCCCATTCCCAAATGTGTCTATCTTTAAGAATTTCTTAATGTTTCCAAACATTTTCTGTGTATATACATACACTTATTCTGGGAGTTTGCTGTACACAAATACAAACATAATGTACACATTGTTTAGTATCTTGCCTTCTTTCTTTTTCTTAACCTAACAGTGTACTGGATTTTTCCATATCCACATGTGCAGATCTAACCCAAACTTTTTAACAGCCCAAAGTGTTTATTATGGACCATTAATCATTTAACTAGCCGCCATTAGTGATCATTTGCATCATTTTGAGTTTTTTACTATATAAAAAATTGCCATCCTTGTTCTGGTTACATGTACAATTATACTTCTAAGATAAATTCTTAGAAATGGAATTGTTGTATCAAAGAGGATGAGTATTTTAAACTTGAATAGAGATTGTTAAAGTGCCCTTTTCTACCACTTCTCAAAACTGAAGCCATTATATAGGTTATATTTTGTGAAACTAATAGATGAAAAATAGTACCTTATTTTCATATTTTTTGAGCAAGGTTGAACATCATTTCATAAACTATAGGCTATTTACGGGGATTTTTTTCTGTGAACTGCCTATTCAAAAGTCTTTCTCAAGTTATAATTTTATCCTTAATTTTAAGTTTGACTTTTGACTTTTTTAATAGTTTTATGTAGTCAAATTTATCTTTTACTTTTAGGCTTGTAGGCTTTATGTAATGCAAGTTACTAAAAACTATCTTGGCATTTTTTTTTATTCAGTTTTATTTATTTTAGGGTTAGATCTTTAATTCATCTGTAATTTATCTTAGTGTAAGGAATGAAGTAGAAACTCAACTTCTTTTTAAATCTAAATGGCAAGCTAGTTGTTGCAAAACCGTCTATTGAATAACCAATCCTTTCTGGCCCACTGATTTGAAATGCCACTAAATTGCCAAATATTTTGGGGTCTATTTCTGGATTCTCTACTGTGAGCCATATGAATAATAATGTTCGATAAATTATTTTAAATGTTTTAAAATTTTTAAGATCATAAAATATTAGACTTAGTTATCTACTTTCTACCTACCAAATGTATCAACCAAAGTGCAGGATCCAAAGAGAAATTAGATATAAATCTTATCCTTAAGTTGCTAGCAATCTGATTGCTATAAATTAGAAGTATTGGGATTTTCCCTCAATATTTTCTTTGATTTGTCAGGAAACTACTAAACAGAAGCTTTAATGCTTTATAGCTGTGTTTCTTGAAGTTTGTCCCATGTGAAATTTAAATAATAATTACCAAGGTGTTTGTTTAAAATGCATATTCCTGGGCACCACCTGGGATGTACTAGCTCAAAATTTCTGTTCACTGAGTCCAGAAATTTGCTTTTTATATGACAGAGTTTGAGAACCACGACTGAATAGCATTGTTTAGCAAGCCAGAAACGTGGTTAAGGAGCAATATGATTTGTTTTCGTCTTCGACTGCCCTCATAGCACAACTAAATTGAAAATGGTAAAGCCATTTGTTAAGCTGTGTGAGTCTCCACTCTGCACAAACTGCTAAAATATCCAGCGATAAGAATTTGTGATAAAGATAGCCCAAAGCACCAAAACAACTATCCTGTGGTCACAGACACAAAAACAGGCAGAAGACTGTTTCTTGGCTGAGATAAGGTTTTTAATCAGTGGCAGCAGGTAAGGCAACTGACAGTCTGAACGAACAATGTGAGATGTGATGTCTAACACACGCGGCGGGAACAAAACCTCCCAGAATTGATGGACAAGAAGCAGGCAGACTTGACACATGCAAAGTGCCCAAGAATATTCTCTGCTATTTCAGTCAAAACAGTGTGGCCTAATCAATAATGCAAACATCCTGTTTCCCAGGCTAACAATCTCTGTCATTTGAACCCTCTGAGAGATAAAGAAACTGCTGGTACAATTGTATGCAATCTTCCTCCAGTCTGAAATGTCAATAGACTAGGCAAATACAGCAAAGAAAGAGAGGAAAATCTCACCAGTGAAAAGTAATTTGTTTAACATTTTTCCATTTCTTTTTGCTTTGCATAGATCTCCTCCCACTTCAATTCAGAAAGCTTTCAATAATGGGCTATCAATGAAAAGCTTCACAGGAGAAATGGGTTTTGTGTAAGAATGGAAAGAGAAGCAATTGTATTGCTAGTGTGGTTCAGTTCTATTTATAGTGCAGTATGAGAGGGGGAAAATGCAACCCAAAAGAATTTCCCACCATAATTTTGCACAGGAAATCTCATGAGACATTAAAAGTCACATAGGTTTGCCTAAAGCACCCTCTTCCTAAAAGGCTTGGCTGTTTTGCAGTGAGAGATTAGGGTGCTACATTCAGAAACCTCTGTATCTTCTGCCTCTGTGTCTGTACA